GAACTGCCTTCTTAAAAATGACAATGCCCGTGGATGGGCAGTGTCTTGCTCTGGGAATAAGGTCCATAAGTCCATACTTTCCAACATCTCCTATTATGGAAGTGACATAGTCAATAAAGTGGAGACACCATAAGGAGAGACACTTCTCCTTTGGGACTTCACAGGCTCCACATTTGGATGCTAAGGATATTTTAACTGAGGGGAAAATAAAGGAAGCAGCACACAGTATTCAATGAGTACTCCTTAATCTGTCCATCCTTGGATTCATCTGCAATGATGGGCTGAACGATGCTCCTTAAACAGAAGGCCTGACTCTTTTTGGTCCCTCTCTTCATGTGAAAACTGACATTAGTCTTATTTGACCAGCTTGGAAAAGCAAATACTCTTGCAGGAAAGACAACTGCCAGCCAGAGGGGACCTCCTAATCTGCCATCATTGGGGATTAACTTTATTGAGTAGCAGCTGTACAAAACACCATGTTAGATGAAAGGGAGCTCCAAACCAAAACCCAGAGATGGCCTGTCTCTGCTACCCACTTAATGAACATAATAAGCCAGACACTGCCCTGACGACAAGTATGTATCCAGGAGACTCAGCTTCCATGACAGTATGGATTTGAGCTCTCTAGGGCAAGTCAAGGAAGCTTATGTATCATTTGTTTTTCATCAGTGCCAAAAGCCTTTTCTATTGTCACAGGCCAGATGAGACAGCACACAAAAAAAGGTCTGCTGTCTTGGTAGGAAACCTAAGGGGCAGAAAAGTAGTTGAATTACTGAGCCATCAGTGGGTGACCTCAGGGAACAGTTCCATGTGGCTCACTGTCTGCCATTTCCATTTTAAGGAATCTCGAGGGGCCGAGAGAGGATTGGGGATGTTTTAGCCCATTCGGTTAAAACATTACATAATAGAGATAACAGGCACCCTTTCCCAAAACCTGGGCAAGAAGAAGGGTACGCAGCATTGGAGTGTGGTGCCAACCTTCCATTTCTGTGGACACCCCCTCAGATTTACAGGGAGCAGTCAGTGGCGCCATTGTCCAGCACCTCTCCTGGGGAAGATTTCATTTCTGCATTCGTTAACCTTCACCGTTGCTAAGAATACAAATGAGCCATAATTCAATTTTTTTGTGAGCCATATATCAGATGTGAACTTGAGACAATAATAGTAGCTAAGTTCACTGAGAGATTACTGTGAACCAGGCATCATTCTAGGACTTTAATGTATTAACTCATTAATCCTCACAACAACCCTATGACATAGGTGCTATTATATCTTTGTTTTACAGATGAAGAAACTGAGGCCTCGAGAGGTTAGGTAACTTGCTAATGTTTACACAGCTACTTAATGGTAGAACACAGATTTATTTGAACCTAGGCAATCCAGATCCAGAACCCATGTTCTAACCTCATGGTTAAACTGACTTCTTAAAATAATACAGAGGAGAAAAAAATAGTTCACCCAAAACTCAAGTGATTTTACAGATAGCTTCACAAAGTATGTCTCAGCCCAATACTATTGTCCCATGTATTTTTTTTTATATTTATTATGCACCTACTGTGTTCCAGGTCTTTTTTTTATTAACATATAATGTATTATTTGTTTCAGGGGTACAGGTCTGTGATTCATCAGTCTTACACAATTCACAGCGCTCACCATACCACATACCCTCCCCAATGTCCATCACCCAGCTACTCCATCCCCCCAACCCCCTCCACTTCAGCAACCCTCAGTTTGTTTCCTGAGATTAAGAGTTTCTGATGGTTTGTCTCCCTCTCTGGTTTCGTCCCATTTCATTTTTTCCTTTCTTCCCCCATGATCCTCTGCCTTGTTTAAGACAAGAAGGGCACTACTAAACTAAATATCAGTATATCTGGATGGCTCAGTCAGTTAAGCATCCAACTCCTGATTTCAGCTTAGGTCATGATCGCAGGGTGGTGGGATAGAGCCTGGTGTGGGGCTCTGTGCTCAGCGGGAAGTCTGCTTCTCTCCTCTTCCCCCTGCCCCTCCCCCTTCTCATGTGCTCTGTCTCTCTCTCAAATAAATAGATATATAAATCTTAAAAATATATCTGCATTTCTAAGATCTGGTTTCCAAAAAGTCAAATAACTTTCCGTAGAGCATAGCTAAAGATCACTGAAACACAAAGTTGAAGGGGACCCTGAGAATCTATTTCTTCATAGTGCTTAAGAAAATAGGATATAGATAAAGAGGGCTAGAAGTAGAAATTAAAATTACTCTTGACTTTTCAAATGTCTGGTTGGAGGTGGATGTGAGGAATACTCATTAGAGCTGACAGTGGCTGCATGGCACCCAAATGCTTTCAATTTAAGTGGCAGCTTAGCAGCCATTTGAAGGAAGTATGTTAGTATTTCCTTTATCTTAAAGAGCATATAGTACTGCTAATACTAATACTAATGATGATGGTTAACCTTTATGGAGTGCTTATTATATGCCAAACATTGGGATAAGCATATTATTTAATCTTCACAGCAATCCTATGAAGTAGATACTACAGTTATTCCCATTTTACAGATGAGGGAACTGAGGTACAGACAGGTCAAGTAACTGGTGAGAGGTCATATAGCTAGGAAGTGGCACAGCAAGGATCCAAACCCAAGCAGTCTGTCTTTGAGGCCTATGCTGTTAAATACTAAGCAAGATACCCTCTCTGTAGGAATAGCCCTCTGAGTTACTGTTAGGAAAACCTACCTAGTTTTTTAGGCCTGTTATTGTCCCAGCATAGGCTTTGGGCCTATAATGATGGTTTGGATGATTTTTTTACTCTCTATGCTAAGCCTTTCTTCCTTCACATTATAGATGGGTAGCTAAGCATCAAAGATTACTGTGTGAGCATAGATTTATGTTTAGATGTGGTAATTTACAAATTATCTGATATAACTATCATAGAGTTCCCTTGGCATCAGAGCAGATCTGGCCTCAACATTTTTCCCAGGACATATACCCACACAGTTCAGATTTCTATAAACTGGTAATAATGGAAGGCAAATCAGATTGTCTAATCTCTCTAGACTATAAGAGATTGTGACTCAGGACCACTCTATATGGAGCTATAAAATAATATATGTTTTAGTTTAAATTGTATTACAGTGAAATAATGAAGAAGAACTAAATTTAAAGACCTATTATACCCTTTAGAAATATCTGTAAGAAATATATTAACAATGATTTTAAAGTATTTTAATAGCCAACATGTTTGAGCACAAGAACGTGCCAGGCATTGTCCTAAGCACAATTGTCATAAAACCCCTAAGGGTTACGTATTATTAGTCTGATTTTATGAATGAAGGAATTGAGTCTCCTAGAAGATATTTAACTACTCAAGATAAAGTAGTGAAAGAAACAGGCTTGGAAGTCAGGCAGATTGACTCTAGGGTCTGAGCACTTAACTATTATGCAATACTGGCTCCTGTCATAGCACCTGCTGATTCCAGATTGGCCCCACTAGTCATTCGAAACCCAAGGAGATCTATGGTCCAATCATTCGGCCCTCAAAGGATCCCTGGTTGCTCATTTCAATCATGGTTGGTCTAATGAAGTAGGATGCAATCTAGTCAATGATAGTCCAGAGCATGAATTATAGTTTGGTGGGGCAGTTCTTTGCCTCTGCCATATATAGAATCCAAGCTCCTTTGCCCTCCACCCATTTCTAATTCACATATTTTTTTTCTTTACATTTGGCTACTTTTATGCTTGTTTCCTAGTTTCTATGTAACCAAATTTCTTAATTTATTATTAAGATTATTAAGCATCATTTCCTACCCTACCATGTCCCCATTATAACTTATAAGGATTCAAAATCTGAACTGGAATTATGAAATTATTTTTTGGGGAGTGGGGGTCACTAACTATATAAACAAATGGCACAACAAAGTGGCATCACTCTAGATCCATTTCTCAACTTTACTGTGTTTGTGAATAACCTGGGGATCATGTTAAAATGCAGCTTCTGATTCAGTAGGTCTGGGCTGGGGCCTAAGATTCTGGGCTTCTTTTTTTTTTTTTTTTTTTTAAAGATTTTGTTCATTTATTTGAGAGAGAGAGGGAGTGAGAGAGAGAGAGCACAAGCAGGGGGAGCAGCAGAGATTGAAGTAGGCTCCCCGCTGAGCAGGGAGCCTGACGTGGGATTTGATCCCAGGACCCTGAGATCACGACCTGAGCCGAAGGCAGACACTTAACTGACTGAGCCACCCAGGCGCCCAGATTCTGGGCTTCTTAACAGCTCCCAGGTTTTGCAGATTATACTTTGAGTAGCAAGGTACTTGATCAGCTTGGTTCTGTCATTCTTTTAAGTAGGATCACAATTAAATGAACCTGGAGAGATTAACGTTTAGGATATTTTAAAAGCACTGAAACGGCAATTCCCTAATGTCTTCACAAATCCATTTTAATGGTTAATAATAGTTCTGGCAGCACAGAAGACTTTTTTTGTGTTTAAACCAAATGCTTCAGATGCTGTGGCATTTTTCTTCTGATTTTATCCTTAGTGGACATGGAATCAGTACACCATGTCCATTCTCTTAATGGTTACTATGTTTAAAAAAATATGAAGTTATTCAATGTGAACAACTTTGGGATGGTTCCCACCATCTTCTTTCCCCCACTTTAGGAATCCATGATTTTTGAGGTGTCTAAGTCCATTCTCATTTCCGCTCCATGTTTATCTGTCTCCTCTAAATCTATAAAATTAGATAAACTTTGTAATTCCTTTCCAAATCCTGTTGTCTTTTATTTCAATGAGCTATTTAAATATTTAATGACCATATCTTGCATCAGATATATCCCTACCTTGCCCATAGTGCAATAGGGAGTATACTAGTAACTACTGGCCACCCAGCCTATAAAGCTCATATTACAAAAATGCACAGTCTAGGCAGAATCTGGTAAATGTCAACTTCAAAATAAGTTGTGTCATACTGTTATATTTATTACCACATGGTCAATAAAAAGAAACACTTGTGACATGATTAAAAATAGCATACCAGGTAAAATTGGTTGTCCAGCGATTCCCAGTGGTGCCATTCCAAGATTATTCATTGCTGTGGCCCATGCAGTTGGATCAGACATAGGTAGCGTCATTGCAGTGGAATCCACATTCAGAGTTCTACTATTATCAGCTAAAGAGAAATGACAAGTAAAGTAATTTGTTGTATTAAGGTTTCAGTATATAGTTTGCTTAACATAAACTGGCAAACTCTTTACAGAAATGGACTGATGGACAAATGGTAGATAGGGCCTTAATTCCAGCTCTTTACAAGGGTTAAAACAATATGGCTTGAATTGGCAGGAAGTCATAGAATTTGAAAGCAGTTTACCAGATGGCATTTTAGTGTGTTTCTTTCTTTCTCTCTCTGCTCCCTCTGTTCCTTCCTTCCCTTTTTTTTTTTTTAATGAAGACTTTATTTTTTTAGAGCAATTTTAGGTTCACAGCAAAATTAAGAAGGTACAGAGATTTCACATGTGCCCCCTGCCTCCACACATGCACAGCCCCCCATTATCAACATTCTGCACCAGAGTGGCACATTTGCTACAACTGATGGATCTACACTGATGCATCATAATCACTCAAAAGCCATAGTTTACATTAGGGTTCACTCTTGGTGTTGTACGTTCTATGGGTTTGGACAAATATATAATAACATGCATACATCATTCAGAATATTTTCACTGCCCTAAAAATCCTCTGTGCTTACTTATTCATCCCTCCCTGCCCCCCAACCCCTGGCCATTACTGATCTTATTCCATCTCCATAGTTTCACCTTTTCTATAATGTCATATAGCTGGAATCATACAACATGTAGCCTTTTCAGACTGGCTTCTCTCAGTAGTATGCATTTAATGTTCCTCCATGTCTTTTCATGGCTTGATAGCTCATTTCCTTTTAGTCCTGAATAATATTCCATCATATGGAAGCACCACAGTTTACTTATCCATTTACCTACTGCAGGACATTGCAGTTGTTTCCAAGTTTTGACAATTATGAATAAAACTACTATAAACATCCATGTGCACATTTGTGTGTGGACATAAGTTTTCACCTCCTTTGGGTAAATGCCAAACAGTACAATCAGTGGATTGTACAGTAAGAACATGTTCAGTTTTATAAGAAACTGTCAACCTGTCTTCTAAAGTGGCTGTACCATTTTGCATTCCCACCAGCAATAAATGAGATTTCCTGTTACTCCATACCATCACCAGTATTTAGTGTCAGCATTCTGGATTCCGGCCACTCTAATAAGTGTCTAGTGGTATTTGTTGTTTTACTTTGCATTTTCCTGATGATACCTAATGTGGAGCATCTTTCCATAAGCTTATTTACCATCTGTATATCTTCTTTAATGAGGTATCAAAGTTTTTTTTTTTTTTTAAGATTTTATTTATTTATTTGAGAGAGAGAGAATGAGAGAGAGCACATGAGAGTGGGGAGGGTCAGAGGGAGAAGCAGACTCCCGCCGAGCAGGGAGCCCGATGCGGGACTCGATCCCGGGACTCCAGGATCATGACCTGAGCCGAAGGCAGTCGCTCAACCAACTGAGCCACCCAGGCGCCCCGGTATCAAAGTTTTTTGACCCGTTTTTAAATTGGGTTGTTTTCTTATTGTGTTTTAAGAGTTCTTTGTATATTTTAGATAAAAATCCTTTATCAGATGTGTATTTTGCAAATATTTTCTCCCACTCTGTGGCTTGTATTCTCATTCTCTTTACATTGTCTTTTGCAGAATAGAAGATTTTAATTTTAATGAACTCCAGCTTATCAATAATTTCTGTCATGGATCATGCCTTTGGTGTTGTATTTAAAGTCATCGCCATATCCAAGGTCCTTTAGGTTTTCTCTTATGTTATCTTCTAGGAGTTTTATAGTTTTGCATTTCACATTTAGGTCTATGATCCATTTTGAGTTAATTTTTGTGATGTGTATAAAATCTGTGTCTAGATTTTTTTTTTTTTTTGCATGTGGATTTCCAGTTGTTCTGGCACATTTGTTGAAGAGACTGTCTTTGCTCCATTGTATTGCATTTACTCCTCTGCCAAAGATCAGTTGACTCTATTTGTGTAGTCTATTTCTGGGTTCTCTATTCTACTCTACCCAGCTATTTGTCGATTATTTCGCCAATACCACACTGGCTTGATTGCTGTAGCTTTATAGTAAATCTTGAAGTTGGGTAGCATCAGCCTTCCAACTTTGTTCTTCTTCAATATTGTGTTGGGTATTCTGAGCCTTTTGCCTCTCCATGTAAATTTTAGCATCAGTTTGTTGATATCCACAGAATAACTTGTTTGGATTTTGATGGGGATTGCATTAAATCAAGTTGAGAAGAACTGACATCTTGGCAATATTGTGTCTTCCTATCCACGGACATGAAATATCTCTCCATTTATTTAGTTCTTTGATTTCATTCATCAGAGTTTTATAGTTTTCTGGGTTTTTTTCCCAACTGTATATACCATAGGAGCTTGGGATGTTTCCTATTCTTCTCATAGTCTAGTTGCATACAATTACTTCAGCAGCTTCCATCCAAACTACCCATGCATGCAAACCAAGAAAAATCATCCAAGGACTTTCATAGTAGCAATAAGAAATGAAAAGTTATATTTTTGATGTAATTTCATATCTTTGAGGCAGTAACATTGAATAGATATAGACACACAATCAACAGATATCAAATTAGCCAATTGAATATTTTGGGAATTAGGGAGACACCAGAGAATAAGCAGATAGAATACATAGTCCCTGCCTTCAAAGGTTATACAATCTAATTTAAGAGACCAGTGATGGTGGTACTGATTACTACTATTATCACTACTCTCACCACCTCCATCCATTACTACCACTAATTACTGAACACTCGCTATATGCTAGGTAAAGCACTTGGCATGCATTATTCTAACTTTCAAAACAACCTAATGAGAGAGACTATTTATATCTCCATTTAATAGATTAGAGGCTTTTACTTTATTTTTAAAGATTTGTTTATTTTAGAGAGAGAGAGAGAGTGTGCGCATGTGAGAGTGGGGGAGGGGCAGAGGGAGAGAATCTTTTAGCAGACTCCCCACTGAGCGGGAGCCTGACTTGGGGCTGGATCCCATGACCCATGAGATCACGACCTGAACTGAAACCAAGAGTCAGATGTTTAGCTCACTGAGCCACCCAGGCACCCCTAATAGATGAGAGACTTAAAGATCACATATATTGTCCGAGGTCACCCAGGTTATATACTGTTAGCCACTATGCTTTATTATCTACAGTGAAACAATTAAGAAACAATCAAAGAAATGGAATTGACCAGAAATGTTACTGAAGTTTAAGGAATGATGGGTGCCTGGGTGGCTCAGTCATTAAGCATCTGCCTTCGGCTCAGGTCATGATCCCAGGGTCCTGGGATCGAGCCCCGCATCGGGCTCCCTGCTCTGCAGGGAGCCTGCTTCTCCCTCTCCCACCCCCCCTGCTTGTGTTCCCTCTCTCGCTGTGTCTCTCTCTGTCAAATAAATAAATAAAATCTTAAAAAAAAAAAAAAAGGAATGAAAAGCTACTGTGGCTTGAGTAATGGAGAAGATAGGATTTGAACAAATGGCCCAGATTTCGACATAACATCTCTTGAGTGATGGGTAGTTATTAGACAAAGAAGAAAGAGGGGAAAAGACATTCCAGGAGCAGTGATGACATAAGCAGACAATGAAGTGGGTTATAACCATGTGCATGTGCATGTATATACTGTATAGTTGGGAGATATATAATCATAAGTCATTGGAGCACAGAAAGACTTATTTTGGGAAATTTCCCTCTGATTACTGATTTCCATAGAAAAATTTTTCCATGGCTTTTCTCCTACCTCTCATGTACACTCCTGCCAATTACCTGAAGGCAACTCTGTTCTAATTGTAGCTTGCTATTTGTTAACATCTATCACATCCTTCTAACCTGGGAACATCAGGGATAATTCCTGGCCTGGTTATTTATAAAAGTGCTATTTTGGAAACTAAATGGTCAGAATAAGAAAATGCAAATGTCCAAAAACATTATTTCTGAAATATTAGTTTTTATCATTCTTCTATGCTGCCTATGTATCTTATCCAAAAACCACTCCCCCCCCCCGCCCCCCACACAGAGTGACTAATGGCCTTAAGCAATTGTTACTATAGTCAGAAGTCACATTTCAGAACTGGTGATTTCTCCACGGATAGAAACTCTAGCCCTCACACCCAGTTTTCAATGCTCTCTCATGAAGGCATATTATGGCTAGAAATAGCCTCCTTGTAAATGTTACTAAGGAAACAAACATGGGGCATCAAATATCCTTCGGGTCAAGAGTTTGCATATTGATTATTTGGTTCATCTGAACTCCCAATCTCCAGTCCAGGTGAGACAAGTTTTAGGGAATGTTATAGCTGGAAGGGACCCCCTGATGAGATTATTGAATCTGCACCCTGATTTTCTCTAATGGCTGCAGAATGACTTCAAGAGGAAACATCTAGGTTTAGAAGGACTGGGCCCCCATGCCAAAAATAATTTCTTGCAACAGTCTGGTTACTCGTTGGCTCTGCAGTCCTGGGAAACATAAGAGAATCAGGAATTATTCTTAATAAAGAATTCTGAGATCAAAAAATGAGAATTTACAATGTATCAACCTAGCCAAACTCTGGACTAATTTTTGGGGAGGGGAGAGAATTATCTAAATTATCAGTTTTTTTTAAAGGACAGTACAGTATTACTATTTTCAAAATATATATTAATTCAAAGTGCCTGTTAAAATGTTAGCAAGTAGAGTTCCTGCTAGGCTTGTTTACATGAACCAGTTGGTTTAGATACAGACCATGTGTAATTAACAGCATTATTTTGCTATGATAAATTCAGTTCTTAAATTCTTAAGGAGCTCTGCCTTTTCATTTCCCTCCACTCCCCCAACACCCATCTACATCTGTCAAATACTACTCATTTTGCAAGGGTCATCTCAAATGTTATGTTGTCTGTGAAGCCACCTCCCTGGAATGAATTACTCCCTCCTAGTGTGTTATCATAACATTTTATCTAGAATTTGATTTTCATATGTTTGCTTATTCTCTCACTCCTTTTCCCTAAACCAAACTTTTATCGAGTCTTACTATATGCCAGGTCATGTGTTAGTGACTAGGAATATGGAGATGAACAAAATTCACTTACTGCTCTGGAAGAACTCACAATACAATGAGAGCATGACATATAAACAACTAAATATAAATTATTATAATAAGTACTGCAGTAAAACTATGAGGAAAGTGCTATGAGAACAGAGAAGGAGTAATTAAATATGCTGGAATGGCTTTGGTTGTATGTGTTTGGGCACAGAGAGCAAGAGGAATACTAGGGAAGGCTTCTCTGGGAAAGAATAATTTGAAATGAGTCTTTAAGGAGGGATAGGATTTTCCTCCAGGTACTGAATGGAGGACTTGGGTTTAAGAGCATTCCAGCAAGCAAGAACAACTGGACATTACCATTGACTGCCTTGAATTATAGTTGTTGAATACATGTCTCTCTTCTCTAGCTAGCCTGCATGCTCCTTTACGTCAGGGACTTGGTTTAGGCATCTTTGTTTCCCTGTTTCTTAGTTCAGTGTCTGGTATAAAGTAGGTATTCAAGAAATATTTGGATGAATGAATAAATAAAATCAACTTACATTGATTTTGGGCACAATAAGCAATCCATGCAGTGACACTCACTGATTATTTATATACCTTTTCAGAATGATAAACTGTCTTAAAAGGGATAGCATAGTTGCTAAACTAATTTTCTCTCCAGGACAACTGAATTGACATGTAGCAATTTACTTAGAGTTACAACCAGAGATAGATGAACCCAACTAATAATTCAGTTTGATAGCATTAGCTATAATCTTTCTCCCATATAGGCACAGTTATACATATAAGCAAGCTTGTAAATTTTTACTTTCAAAGAGAAATCCCAGATGATCGTCTCTGTCTGGCAGCAATCTGGATTTAAGGTCTGCAGTAACAAAATATGTTGTGCTGAACATCTGTTTAGAATCATCACTTAATGGTAGAAAAGTTAAGTCCAGGCCTGATTCACTTTCTAGACTAAAAATGGACATCTAGCAATTCCTTTAAGTGTGTTATAAAAGTAGTCCCATGTCACTAAAGAAAGAGATTGCTCATTTTCCCATAAGTCCTACATTCACTGGCAGTGGCCAAGAATATTCAGAAGGCAAATATCATATATTGATATGCTATCAAATAGTCTTCAAAATGCCTCACCCATCTGAAGAACATGTCCTGCTATGCTGGTTTTCCGTTCTACCTTGTGTGGCGACTCCTCAAGAGATCACAGGTTGTACAGTAATTGTGACTGAATGTCTTCTAGGTAAGTTGATTGAGTTTATGGCACTTTGGAGCAAGAGTTCATTAGTGCCAAAAAAATAAAAGATTTGGAAGTAATTATCGATTTTAACTTGGTATTGCTCCATAACTATCAAGTCATTGCCATCTGTTTATTTTTATATTATACTTCACTTGATTAGTCAATTATTGTCAGTTATTTGATCTTGAAGACAACACACACACACACACACACACATTCTGTGATACACCCATCCTGTAGTAGACTTAATTATTTCATATATTTCCTTTATTTCCTTTGAAACAAGTTCAGTATGTTGGTGTCGTCTCATCGACCATACTCTTTTTATTAAGACAAAAGCTGTCCTTCTCTGGCAATTTAGTCTCCTGAAATTCTCTTTCTTATGTCCAGGTTTATATCCATTGGCTTTTATGCTTGCTGTAATTTTATTACACAGTATTGTGCAAAGTTGAGGAGAGGATTTTGTCAACAAACATCTATTGAAAGTTTGTTAAGAGTAGGAAGCAATCCTGCCTAGTGACCAAGAGTATGGGTTTGGGAGTCAGATGGTTTGGGACTAGAGTCTAGCTGTACTAAGTAACTGTAATGTGCTCATTCTGTTTCTCTCTTTACTTCTCTTCTTGCTGGTCTGCCTTCCAGACTTCCTTTTATAGTTGCTGTACATTCACTGAACATTTTCTATGTGTCAGGCTCCATCCTAGACGTTGAATACATTATGGTGAGTCAAACAGGCCTCAACCTTGTTTTTAGGAAGCTCTCTAGTACAGGAGGGAGATACTAAAATACAGATAAACATAAAATAATTACATATTGTGATAAGTTTTTTGAACAAAGAACTGGGTTTGATGATAAAAATGGCAAGTTACAAATTTAGGAAAGTGATAGTATCGACCTTATAGGTTTGTTGAAGATTAAATTAGATAATGTGGGTAAAAAAATTTAGCATGGCTTCTGGCTCATAGTAAGTACTTGGTAAGTGGTAATAATAATATGTAATAATTAAGATGATGATGATGAACCCAGCCCTTGAAGGGTTCAAAGTCTACCGAGAGATACAGGATATATAGGAATTACAACAATACATTATACAGATGATGAAACAGAGGCACAGGCAGTTTAAGTAATCAGCTCAATATTGCACAGCTAGTAAGTGGTAAAACAGGGAAATGAACCCAGGCGACTCTGGTACCAATGCCCATAGTTTTATCCATCACACTAAACTCCCTCCCAAAGAGCCCTTTATTTTCTGTGTTCCCCTAGCTCATTGAACACATTACTATGATAGCCTTTATCACATTATATTTTTTATCACCTCTTTCTGTGTCTGCCTCTCCTCCTAGACTCTGGATTCCCTTATTCCTCTTTGTTATTCCTAGTGCCTAGACACTGTGTCTGACACAAAGCAGATGTTTAATAAATGATTTTAAATAAATGAATCAGGAAATATATGAACTTATGTAGGAGAGTCCTGCATAGACATTCTTCTTCCTGGAAGTAGGTAGGCATATAGCAGGTGCCAAGCTACTCAGAATGGGATACCACTCTGTTGTTGTATTAGATAAAACCTGTTTTGGTGGGTTTCTTCTGAGGACTAAATACTAAAAATTTTAAATGGAGAGGGGAAGATAAATGGTGATAATTTGAGGTATTATAATCTTAACATGCTGATAATATAAGAAAATAACAATTACATAAATACAAACTTTAAGGAAGATAAATCTGTAGATGGGAAGGTATTTTTCATCACATAAATTCAGGAACTGACTAGAATTTCTTTGAAAATTTAAAGGTAATTAAATTTACTAAAATAAATGTGCATGTAGCAGCCATATTTTTTAGCTTCTTGAGGGCAGGGGATATAAATCTCATTTACTTTTATTATATTCTATAGTGATTAGCTCAAAGTAGGTGCCAATTAGTGTGCTCTTAAATAAGTGAACTCTGGAAGAACTCAGCAATTGTATAAAGTGGGGCTTACCTGCAAAGCCTATTTCATAGACCCACAGCCAAATAAAATCTCTTTGCATTGTGTAGTACTGCACCGTGGACTTAGCCCTCTAGTCATTTCTGCAGAAGGAAGATAGTGGTCCAAAGCTGGGTGAAACAGACCTCTGGAACATACCAGGACTTAGATAAATGGTGAATAATAGTGTTAATGATAGTAATTATAACAAGACTAAAGATAGTTAACACTTATTTAATACTTACTATGTGCCAGGCACTGTTCTAGGCACTTTATGTACATTAATTTAAAACTCACAACAACCCTATGAAGTAAGACCTCTCACTATCCCCATTTTACTGATGAGGTAACAGGAACAGAGAGGTTAAGCAACCTGTCAATGGTCATACAGTTAGCTCGCAGTGAAGCTGGGATTCAAACCCAGGCAATATGACTCCACAATTCATGCTCTTAACCACTATACTATATTAAACTAGGGAAATCATAAAGTTATAAAATATTTGAGCTGGGAGGGCTGTTGAGCTCATCATTACACAGATGGGTGTTCCCCAGGTCCTCTATTGCAGGGATTCTTAACTGGGGCTAAGTTGCCCACTCCCCAACCAGGGAACATTTGGCAATATTTGCAGACACCTTTGGTCGTCACAACTGGAGGTAAGAGGTGCTACTGGAATCTAGTGGGTAGAGGCCAGGGATACTGCTAAACATTCTACAATGTACAGGACAGCCCCCCACAGCAAACAATTATCTGACCCAAAGTGTCAATAGTGCTAAGGCTGAGAAACCTTGCCTTACTGCAGCAATTTTCATGTGTTCTTACTGGAGAGTGCATTATACGCTTGGCTTCTTTTTTTTTTTTTTAAGATTTATTTATTTATTTACTTGTCAGAGAGAGAGAGAGAGAGAATGCACACGAGCACAAGCAGGAGGAGGGCAGGTAGAGGGAGAAGTAGGCTCCCTGCTCAGTGGGACTCAATCCCAGGGGCCTGGTATCATGACCTGAGCCGAAGGCAGATGCTTAACCGACTGAGCCACCCAGGCATCCCATACCCTTGGCTTCTTCACAATCCCTTCCCATCTATCACATGTGCAGCCAATTCTACCTTCTGCAGTTTATGAACTACTCCCTTATGCCACTGTACTAAAACAAATCAGACCACCTCCCCCATCAAGAATCTACTAACATTTTTAGCATGGTTACTTTTATGCTTCACGCCAAAGAAATGATCCTCATGGTGGAGAGTCTAGGTGCCTCGGAAGTTCTGCAAATAGCACTAGGAATACAGTAACAAAGAGAAAGGAAGTTTAGAAAATACTTTACGGAACACAGAAGAAAACACCATCTCTAGCACACCACACAGGACCTTACATACAGTAGGCACTCAAGAAGTACATGTTGTAAAAGGTTATGGCACAAGGGCAGTGTTGGGTGTCCTAGAACAGAATAACATTGTGCTTTCTGTTCTCTGGCTAAGGGAAAGGAAACAGCAGGATAAATCATGTTTTGGTTCTGCATTAAGCCTAGGGCTCAAGGTTTTATCTTCTGTTTGGTATTTATTGCTCATGAAGCAATATATTGTGTGTTGCAGGTGCTATTTTGAATCCTTCTTCATTTTCTTTGAAAATTAACAATCCATCATTATTTGTGAACAATGCGCTGAAGCCCCAGGCACATCCCTCTCTCTCCGATCACAGACGTCACCAGCAGTCACACCACAGCTTGCATCATGGCTATGCAGTGTGAGGGAACTGATAGGGGCTTTTGTAAGACACGGCTCCTAGGTGGCTTGAGAGAGATGATACTATTAGACAAGCAAGGGCTTTATTTCCTTATGAGTGTTTCCAAGAACGGATCAAAGAGCTACTCAAGAGGATCAGGGTGTCACAACATATTCTTCCTTGGAGAAGAGGAGCGGAAGGGTGGGGGAGGGAAAAGGGAAAGGTTTTATGCTAGCCTATATTGTAGGTAATCATTTTCACAAGGGCTGAGTGGCAGGGTGGAGGGTGGGAGATAATAGCTTGATCCTCAAGGTATACAGATGAGAACCTTGGGGTAGAGAGTGCTTTCTCAAACTAACCCTCATCCTGGAAGATTCATTGGTTTAGTCTATAAGCTGGAGGGTCCTGGACACAAGCACCTCTATGTTGGAGCAGTTACAAGGATATTCAAGATGGTTTTTTTGAGGGAGGAGGGGCAGAGGCAGAGGGATAGAGAGAATCTTAAGCAAGCTCCACACCCAGCACGGAGCCCGACGTGGGGCTTGATCTCACGACCCTGAGATCACGACGTGAGCTGAAATCAAGAGTTGGACGCTTAACCACCTGAGCCACCCAGGTGCCCCATGGATATTCAAGGTTCTTAACTAGATCTACATGAAGCTAGAGTGCCAAGCCACCCCTCCAGATAGCAGTTGCTGTGAGGGTGGGGTGTAGCAAGGAAGAAGAAGGACACAGGTCTTAGCATGCACCTCTCCAAGGAACTCACAGCATATATCCTGCATTTATAAAGGCAACAAGATATAGTGGAAGAAATATAGATTTTGAGCCAGATAGACCCAAAATCAAATCTTGGCTCTACTATTTACTAGTTGTGTGACTTTAGGCAAGTTCCACACACTTTTTAGACTGTTTACTCACCTGTATTATTCACCTAACAATAATGATGTTGATTCCTAGTATTGATTAAATGCTTATTATGTGCCAAACACTGTTTTAAGGCTTTATATGTACTATGTAATCTAATCCTCACAACAAGCCTATAAAATTGGTAATTTTATCATACCCATTCTACAGATAAGGAAAATGAAAGACAAAGAAGTTAGGAAGTTGCCCAAGGTCATAGATGGAGTTAATGCTGGACTTGAAATTCAAATTCAGGCAGTATAGCTTCAGGGCCCATACTTTTAACCCCTGAGCTATATATTCTCACTACACTATAGAAAATGCTGAGCAAATATTCAATCATGATCTTAACCCCACTTCCTTTATCTTTCCCTTGTTTTAGTTCCCATTAAGAAACCATTCAGTTGCCCTGTGGGGGTCTCTTCTCCCACTTCTCAGAGCTGGAGCTGGGGGTCTCCTTTGCTATTTCAAGGTGGACTGGCATAGATTGAAGAATCTGAGTAATAGTCCTTGTCACTTCAAGGTTATCAGCTGTATGTGAGCCAAGAGAATAGGTTGAGGTTGGATGCAGGCGTCCTGGAAGTCCAATAGGCTCCACCATTAGGACCTTGGAAGCTTCCTCAGTCAGTCAAAGCAGGGGCTAGCCACACTAGAGAGGCTCTGTTGGGCTTTTCTGGACTAAGTCTGTCATTCCCATCCCTGGCTTCTTGGGCTTCTGAGATCCCAGTGAACTCATGTTACCCTGATCTAGGTTGAATGGTCGACAATGGTGGTCTAGTTTTGAGACTGCATCATTGCCTTCATTCCATATTTCCTTACCTAATATTTAGACAAAAAACACCAAAAGCATAAATGGGCCGCAAAAATGCTACCTTACCCCCACTCTTTTAATGTCTGTGCTAACTGCCTGTTAAACCACACATTTCTTTTCCTGGTTTTGAAACAAACACATTAATATTACTGTCAGGATCCCAAATGCTGTAGGTATTGCTTTTCAATTAGAAACCTTAATATTTAACAAATCAGGTACTGAGCATGCTCTTTAAGTTAATGGTGTGACTGGTGGTGGAGGGGGAACAATGAAAGAAAGAAAAGAGAAGCATAAATTCTGTAAGTTCCCAAAGCTCTGTGGTCTATGCTTTCCTGAGGTAAGTTGTGTAAGAGGTAACTTGGCACCCCTGCTGCTATGCTGTTGGAAGTCTGGAAAGATCTCTTGGAGGAAAAAAAAAAATAGTCCTGGGGTGAATCCACAAGCCATTTTACTTTAGCCTTTGTTGCTGAAAATCTTTCCAACATGTTTCAGTCCACTTCCTTGCCATAGGAGATGGAGTACAACAAAGATAAATATAAACTAGATCTGGAATTAGGAGGGCTGAGTTTCAACTCTGGCTTGACTCTTCTTGCTGTGTAGCAATCACTCACACCTGTGTTTGTCAGAGTGTGGTCCAATCATTTGCATCACAATCGCCTGGGGTGATTGCTAACTAGCCAAGTTCCAGGGTCCACAGCTGAGGTTTCCATCTGGGTGGTGCTGGGGAATCTGCCTGTTGAGCAAGCACCCAAGATAACTCTTAGGCCTACTACAAATTTGAGAAACACAGAGCTTTGGTCGCCTCATGTATAAATAAGAATGATGCCGCTCCTTTCACAAGGTTGTGGTGAAAACACAGGTGGTCAATACGTGCTACCTATACCTGAATCATTGAGTGAGATTATGGCAGGGCTTCAGGATCCATTCTGAGTATTAATTTAACAAACATGTTAAATCCATGCACTATTTGGTGGTACCAGAGTGAAAAATTCATGTTTCCCTGCCCTTTGAGGGGCTCATAGACTAGTGGGAGAGACACACAAACTACTGCATAGCTTGATACTGGCTAAATAGAGATTGAAGGGGAGGCAGTTACTCTGCTGGGAGGAGAGGTGGTGGTAGAGAGGAAGGGGGAACATGGAGGAAGTGATGTTAAACTGAAGAAGTCACTTTGAAGTGAGTTTCAAAGGATAAACCAATTATGATGGTACTGTGGATATCTTAAAAAGGTATAGGAAATAAGGCTGTATTTGTGCTAGGTCTAAAAACTAGAATAGAAACCAGAGGGGGAGACAAACCATAAGAGACTCTTAATCTCAGGAAACAAACTGAGGGTTGCTGGAGGGAGGTGGGAGGGATGGGGTGTCTGGGTGATGGACATTGGGGAGGGTATGTGCTATGATGAGCTCTGTGAATTGTGTAAGACTGATGAATCACAGACCTGTACCCCTGAAACAAATAATACATTATGTTAATAAAAAAATAATAATAAAAAAGAAATTGTCTTTGGGGGGAATGGGCGTGAGCAGAGAATATTTCCCATATCAGTTTACTTATCACTCCTCTCTCCTAAAAGTAGAATATTAAAAAACTGGAGTCATTTTGTATTCTCCAGTTGGTTGGACTTTGAGAGGATGGGTATTAGACTATATTGTTGAATTGCTTTGCAAG